CTCTTTCTTTCTTATTAGCCAACCCTTTTAGAATATATGAAGAGTATTACCTATATTGAAATCTTAATGAGTTATCAGCTTTGATTTCAATTATTAAAAAGATTTGTCATTCTTAATTAAAATAAAACTCCACAGTGGTGGAACACTAATGGAATAGCGTCTAGTTTACAAAAGAAGAACAAAAAATTTATAAAATTATTTGCAGCAAGAATTAATGTTTAAAGAATAAAAGGAATATAAAAACATTTTATTTTTTATAAAAACAAAAACTAAAAAATATAATTTTACAAAGTGAAGAAACTTCACTTTTTTTTAGGTTCACACTGTGAAAAAGTTAAAAGGTAAGCATGTATACAACCATGGAGTGGAAAGATCTGAGAGACAGGATTGAAACAACCTCTCTGATTTGCAATTTGTGCTTTAACTTCTTTATAGAAAAAAAACTTTTTAGTATCCTTGTCAATTTTTTACGCTAACCGGCTTAATCCACACACATACTTCTGCCCTTCCCACCCTTCACCACACACAATTAAGAGGACTTTTCAGATGACTTCTTCTACCCTGTCAGTAAGGCATTCCTCATTTTTATTGTAAAGCTGTCTTGTGACCTTGTAACTTTGTTTACCTGAATGAGTCACATCTTATGATATATTTAGAATAGGGCTCCTTAAACCTGATTCCTGTTAACTCTTTAGGCAATATCCTGTAGAGTATTGTGTTGGACATTTTCCCTGGAGGATTTTGTAATTTATTTTTATGACAAAGCTAAAGGTTTCTATAACCAGTATCCTCTCTAGCTGTAGATCTAGTCCGAGCCCAGCCATTTTTCTCTGCTCCCTGCTACCACAAGTCACTCATCTCCTGCTTGGATTGCTGCCTCAGCTTCCTCATTGTGCTCCAATTTCTGCCTTCCCTTATTCCTTCCCCTCTCTGCCAGTGTTTTTCCCACAGAGTGGTATGGTAATCCTTTAAAGCCTGGCCTAGAACACTCTTCAGTTCATACCCCTCACATGACATCTCAGTACTTTCAGAACAAAATTAAAATCCTTACAATGAACTACAAATGTGGACACTCATTTCTTTCCTCTTTGATCTCGAGCCTTCTTGCCACCTACATAGAGGTGCACAGGGCCCCATCCCCTGATCCACTGAGAATTCCTCAGGCCCCATGTCTGCTCCTGGCATTTGCCAGAGGGCTGGACTCTCGTCTCCCCAATAGGCGATGATAAATATCTGTTGAATAAATGAAACGTTCTTAAAGACTCTATGTAGAGGAGAATAAGGGACTACAGCTACCAGTTTAACTTTTCCTTATTTACAAAAGCCCCCAGTTGTTCCCAGTCTAGTTCACCCTTCCTTTTCAGCAGGTGTGTCTAGGACTGGCGTGTGTTCAGTCCTGATCCAACCAACAGATCAAAGAATTTCTCCATTTTTACAGGTAAGATTATTTACATTGTTATTGGAAAGAAATTTTTTATATCTGTTGTACAACTGCTAGTGGGCAAAACCAAGGGGTATACAGAGACCTTGACTGATGCTGAAAAAAACCTTCATTGCTCATTCTAAGGATTTGTGCCCATCCATGAACATAAAAGCAAAGCAACCAAATTGCATAGTGATCAAATAATTTAATCAATGAGAGATTCAAGGGAGAGTGAGAAAGAAGGAATAGGAAAGAAGGACGTCAAAATACAAACACCTGATTAAATGCCAATATCAGCCATCTCCTCTGGGCACAAGGGCAGAGCTGTCAGGAGAATTCAAGGCAACCTCCCAGCAGAAAACACAAATAAGAATTTGCCCAGGGCCCAAAGGGCTAGGAGAGGTGGAGAGAACCAAAGTTCAAATGCATAACCCTGTTTGGGGGTTTTGAGGTTCTTTTGGGCTTGAGGTTCCTTGGTCCTAGACTATGATCATGAAAGAATTGAAAGCTACCTCTAGGCAAGGCAGTTTATTTAGAGACAGTCACTGTGGAACAGGTCCAGATGGGCCAAATCCAGGGAAGAACAGGAGGGTGACTCCTGGCTTAAATGGGATGCAAGAGACTTCTCCATCCCTTTCTGAGGTTTGTTGCACAGGCAGGAGTTTCTAAGTCCTTCCCCCTTTCACAGTGCTCTGGGATAGAATTTCATCAGTCCCATCAGCAGGCTAAGAAGGTTGTCTGCTTTTCTACCCTAAAGGCACTTCTTGCCATCTAACAGCTTTTCCACCTGCTCTAGGATTGGGGTAGAGAGGGATGGGAGTGCCTTCTCCTTTGGGCATTTGGGCTTTCTCCAGGCTTTACTGGCTTTTGCAAGTGTTTCCTGGGGTTCTGGGTATAGCTGTCCATTTAATTTTCTTTAGGCATCACCCTCCTTGCTCTAATTGCATAATGACCCAAGTTGAATCCACAGGAGGTCAAGGTGGTGATCTCCATTGCCCTGTAAGAGAAGGAGTGGGCTGTCTGCCAAAGAGCCGATCTCCAAAAAAGAACCAGACTGGAGTCAACTGTAGGCCTGCAAGTGAAGTTGAGAAGGAGCAGGAGCAGGAGACTACTGCCAGAATGATCTCTGGGTCTTTTACAGGTCTACCCTGAGGCTCAGCTTGGTCCATAGGTTTTCACTGTAATCTTGACTTTCTTCCTATTTCCCCTACATGTTTTCATTATGGAAATTGTGGATAGAGCTGCCTCTACAAATTAACTCTTCTCTTAAAAGAATTAAGATGCTCTAATGGTAAATACAGTTGGCCCTTAAAAAATGAAATGCAGCGGTGATGGATAAGGGTCGTCAAATTCTATGCAGTTGAAAATCTTTGTTAACTTTTAATTCCCACCAAACTGTATTACAGTGAGGGCATTTTTACTGCTCTTCATCCATGGTTAGGTTGAATCCCTGAATGTAAATCAGAGGGTATGGAGGGCTGTTCTGCAACCATCCCAGGTAGGTTCACTGTTGGTTCAGGCAGCTTAAAGAGAACACTGATGCCTTTGACATCATTCCCACAGGGTTTTTAATAGGAAGCAGGAGAAACAAGCCAACAGAGAGACAGCAACTTAAGCCCCCCTGCCGATCTCTAGATGCTCTTTCCTCTGGGGTTTCTTTGGTGTCTTCTTGTTGTTCTTTCTCTAGTAGCAGTTCTCAGCTGCCCTTATAGCCTCAGTGTCCAGGCTCAGGTGTGTCCACTTACACACGCCCCCACCGTACTCCAAGTATCTACCATCAGGCATGTGTACCTCAAGCCCATGCTCCTAAGTGCCTCCTCTGTTAGTACAGTCAAGGCCACAGGTTAGATAGCCTCAGAGGCTAGAGGCATTAACATCTCACCCAAACTTTGTTTATCCTGCAAGGGCCAACTGTATTTACTGAAGGAAAAAAAAAGTATAAAAGTAAGTGAACACTCAGTTCAAACCCATGTTATTGAGTCTGAGGTGGTAAGTCAACTTCCTGAAGTTCCAAAGACCCTTGGAAAGCCTGTCAGGTGGTGCTTTACCACAACCATAAAGGTCACAGGCGTTTCTTTGGTTTTGTTTTGTTTTAGTTGCAAGATCTGGTTCTAACAGATGTTAAATGACAAAAATCCACTGGAGTTAATTTTAAAGATCTAATGGACTTTTCAAACCATTCATGATATTGGGCAGGATCCCATCTAGTGAGTGAAAACATGCTGCAAATCAAAATGGAAGGTTTGTATAGTCAGACTGAAGGTGTGACAAGGTCATTAGCAAAAGGAAGGAAGAATTACTTCATGCAAAATCACTTTCTATTACAGAATGCAGGGTGTCTTATCTTGCAGATACTAATTGGTTAACTTTAACTTCCATTTTAGAGAGGATGACCTCTCCCCAAACCTTGCAGTTAGATTAGGCATTAAGTCTTGGTGGGCGTGGCACGAACGACTGCATTTTGAGCCTTTCTTTCTTTAACAGATATAGTCTGGCGGTGCATGTTTTACAGTCATCAGAACAGTTCATGCATTGAAAGCTAGAGTGTCTTCTACTCCTCTAAGCTAACATCTATTTCCATGACTTCCTCTCTTTACCTCCAGTTAAAGAGTATGGTCAAGTCCTTTATGCTCTGTTTTCCTCCGTCCCTGTTCTCTGCAACCATCACTCTCCCAGTGTGCAAATGACCATCTCTGTCTCTCCTGCTAGATCCCGGGCTAATGTTCTTGCCCTCGTCTGCACACTGAGTCCAGTGCCTGGGGCATCTTACAAGTTCAACAAATGCTGGTTGAACAAGTACAGAATAAGATACTACCTGAGTTATGCTGTGAAAACCAATATGGTCGTCGCGAGGTAGTGGGGGCAACACAACGGTTCAGCAGAGGCAAAGGGCATTACAAACTCAGCGGCAGGAGGTGGATTTCCAAGTGCGGCCGACTGCGTCGCAGCCCAGACAGGGTCAGGGCAGGAAGATGCTGGCAAGAAAGCACCGACATTTAAGTGACAGCTTCAATGCTGGGAGTCTTTGAATCTGCCTTCCTTGTCCTTTGGCCGTCCTACCCCTCGCACGTGAGGGGTGCACCTGCAGCGGCTCGCCAGAATCGGAGGGTTTGTGAAGAAGTGGTGGGGAATGCTGAGGGACCCAGCCTTGCCCCGCTCATCTAAAGCCACCTGCCTCCGGAAAAAGCCTCGCTCCACCGACACTTCGCTTCTTTTCAAAACCTTGCCGGGTCCCTTTGCGGTGACAGGACGGAGTTCGGGGGCGGGGACCTGGCAGCTCCCGCCTCAACGCTGGGCCCCCGACCCTCACGCGCTGCGGGTACCCGCGCCCATTCCCCAGGCTCCCGGCCGGCGGCGCGAGCTGGCGGGCGTGTCGGGAGC